GAAGAGGCTGGGTGCAGTGGCTCATGTCTGGAATCCCAGCACATTGGGAGGCCAAGGCGGGAGGATCACTTGAGCTCAGGAGATCGAGACCAGCCTGGGCAACATGATGAAACCCCATCTCTATAAAAAATACAAAAATTAGCCAGGCATGGTGGTGTGTGCCTGTCATCCCAGCTACTCAGGAAGCTGAGGTGGGAGGGATCACTGGAGCTCAGCAGGCGGAGGCTGCAGTGAGCTGTGATTGCGCCACTGTACTCCAGCCTGAGTGACAGAGAGCGACCTTGTCTCATAAAAAAAAAAAAAAAAGAGAGAGAGAGAAAAAGACTGTGAAGACTTGTAATAGGAGGTCTATAGGCAAAAATCCTCAAACTTCTTTGCTAGTGAAAATATTATTTAACCATAAGCACTTATTGTGTACATAGACACACACACACACAGCCCAAACCAAAAACCAAAAACACTATTAGAAAGACTATGAAATGCAAAACAAAATGATTTTGGAATTTTGGAATGAACAGAGTACACTAACAGATTAAAATAAAACAAAGAACACTTTCCGAATACTATTGTTTCAAATTTTTTGCATATTTACACACACACACACACACACACACATACACACATACCCACTCCTAAAAGGTTCAGAAAAAATAGTCTAATTATGTCAAATTTTAACTAAAGAAGAAAAGAGTAAAAAAAAATTATCATGGTGGAATATAGGTTTCATAATAAAAATAAAGTTTTTATTATAAAAGCTGTATATATTCTTTGTAATAATTTACAAAGAATATAATTTTATAATTATATGTAATGTAAATAATTTTACATTATATGTAATGTAATTTTACATTATATGTAATAATTTTACATTATATGTAATAATACATTATATGTAATAATATAATGTAATATTACATTATATATTATTCCATTATATATAAAAATACATTACATTATATATAATAAATAAATAATAATAAAATAATACATTATATGTAATTTTACATTATATGTAATGTAATTACATATACATTACATATAATGTAAATAATTACATATACATTACATATAATGTAAATAATTTACATTACACTATATGTAATGTAAAAACAGAGAGAATAAAAACGTCACTCCTTATCCTGCCACTGAACAATCACAATATTTTACATATGTCTTTGTAGCCTATTTTCCTTATAAGGTTATTTTTTACATAATCATAAAATAATCTGCATATGTCATTTTATTCATTTTTCACTTAGTAATACTATGGGCAATTTCCATCTTGTTACCATGCCTGATGCTTATTATTTTTAGTGTTTAAATAATACTCTATGGAGTAAATTCCCAATATTTATTTTATAATTATTATTACTGAATATTAAATATCATTGAATATTTATGTTTAAGATGCTGTACAATTTCAGGAAGAAAATGCAAATTCTTGATCAAAGCAGTAGTGCTTCTATACAGTATCACTGATACATGCTCCACTGACCCATCCAGCCTCCAGCTAGCAGAGGGGTTTTATAAACCATAGGCCAGGAGCTGGGTAGGCCAGCGGAATTTTAAAAAGTGTAGCAAGTGGCCACTCAACCACTATTTCCCAAGCTTCTCCAAGCCTCAGATGTCTAATATATATGGTTTGGAATGGTATCCCCGAGTTGTGCAGTGCACAGCCCACACAACCGAACAAACTGGTCCTCCCTTCTCATACCCTCTAGCATGGTGTCCTCACAACTGCAACCTCCTGAGACATGCATTATGCTCCCAATCCCTTCCTTCCTCTCTCTACTTTCCCATCAAAACCTATGGCTAAAGTACACGTGCATACATTGCTGGTGTGCCTATAGATTGGTCTAGGGGTTGAACTCTAGCCTCTCTAGAGGGTGATTTATCAATAATGATCTGAACTCTTGAGAAACGGTGCTTACTCTTTGAGCTATCAATTCCACTGCCAGCAATTAATCTGGAGAAAAATCGGATAAGTGTGCAGACATATGAACGAGGATGCTTTTGGGTTTCTGGTTTCCTGTTTTTGTTTTTTGTTTTGCTTTGTTTTATTTGAGAGACAGGGTCTTTCTCTGTCACTCAGGCTGGAGTGCAATGGCATCATCATAGCTCACTGCAGTCTCGACCTCCCAGGGCTTAAGTGATCCTCCCACTCAGTCTCCTGAGTAGCTGGGACTACAGGTGTGTGAATTTGAACAATAATGTTTTTCACTGAATATACAGGAGAGGAAATGAGAATGTCTAAATCACCTATGATTAAGTTATGGCTCAATGTATTCACTGTGTGTGTGTATATATATACACACACACATATATATATGTATACATACATATATACACACACACACACACATATACATATATACATATAAAATATAGGCCAGGCATGGTGGCTCATACCTGTAATCCCAGCACTTTGGGAGGCTAAGGCAGGCAGATCACCTGAGGTCAGTTGTTCAAGATCAGCCTGGCCAACATGGTGAAACCCTGTCTCTAGTAAAACTACAAAAATTAGATAGGTGTGGTGGTGGGCGCCTGTAATCCCAGCTACTTGGGAGGCTGAGGCAGGAGAATTGCTTGAACCCAGGAGGTGGAGGTTGCAGTGAGCCAAGATCACACCACTGCACTCCAGTCTGGGTGACAGAGCAAAACTCCATCTCAAAAAATAAATAAATAAAATTAAAAAATAAAAAATAAAAAATATATATATACCATAGAAGAATTAAAATTTGTGAGGTACATCTTTGTGTGGCAACAATGAAAGATATTCCCCATATATCATTAAGGAGAGACAGCAGGCTGAAAAAAGTGTTTATAATCACAATTTTGTAGAAAGTTTTTTTAAATTTCCATATGAATAGAAAAAATTCTAGAAGGATATTATATATTTTTAAACAGCTTATATGCATTGCTGGGCATGGTGGCTCACACCTGTAATCCCTACACTTTGGGAAGCTGAGGTGAGAGAATCCCTTATGTCTAGGAGTTTGAGACCAGCCTGGCCAACACAGTGAGATCCCTTCTCCATTTGTTTTTTTTTATTAGCCGGGCATAGTGGCACATTCCTGTAGTCCCAGCTACTCAGGAAGCTGGGGTGGGGGGATTGCTTGAGCTCAGGAGATTGAGGCTACAGTGAGCCATGTTCATGCCACTGCCCTCCAGCCTGGGTGACAAAGTGAGACCCTGTCTGTCAGAAAAAAAAAAAACCCAAAACTTGTATGCATTATCTATTTTTTTCACAAGTGATATGCATTACTTGCACAATTAAAAAAATACATATATGTTTTAGAAAAATTTGCTCGTTGGGGTAGGCTCTCGTCTCCAGCTATAGCCAAGCCTAGAGCTGACACAGGACACAGTCTTTTCCTGGGACAAATTGAAATGGCTGCTTTGTACCATTGGGTCCAGATTTTCATTTTGTGCCAATATCCTCCTTTGTGTGCAAGTAATTAAGAGTCTGGATATTTTCACACTGAAAATTGTATTGTCAGGACTTTAGGCTATAAGTGACTGAAGTGTTTTTTCATGTGTGTGTGTGATGGAGTCTGGCTCTGTTGCCAGGCTGGAGTGCAATGGCACGATCTCGGCTCACTGAAACTTCCTCCTCCCAGATTCAAGTGATTCTCCTGCCTCCGCCTCCTAAGTAGCTGGGATTACAGGCATGTGCCACCACACCTGGTTAATTTTTATATTTTTAGTTATATGGGATGGGGTTTCACCATGTTGGCCAGGCTGGTCTCCAACTCCTGACCTCAAGTGATCCACCTGCCTCACCTCCCAAAGTGTTGGGATTACAGGCGTGTGCCACTGTGCCCAGCCTGAAGTCCATCTTGAAGGGGATTCACTGGTATAGCTGAATGCAGGTCCTCAAACTAACTCAAAACCCAGCCCCTTTCTCTGCCTCTTAGCCCTGCTTACCTCTGTGGTCATTTTTCCAACAGGCTCTTCACACTGTGTTAAGATGGTGCTGACAGTCTGGCCTCTCGGTAACCCAGTGCGAAGAGGGCTGCTCTGTCCCAGCCACTCCAATGAGGATCCCAGAATGGAGGAGTCTCACTAGGTCTGACTGGCCTGATTTCTGTCTGCTGCCCATCATGAACTAAGCCCTATAGCCAGAAGGATGGAATACGCATCCAGGCCGACACAGTCCCTCCACAGCTAGGGTGAGACCTGTCCCAGCCTCAACCTTGTACTCTGCTGATACCAAGCTGTTTCTCCTTGGTGGTTCCCTCACTTACCCTAGGTCAGTTCGCTCCATGCACAGATTCTTATTGTTCTCTGCAAGTGGAGATCAGAAATCTCCATTATTTTATTTTACTGTTTTTTTT